GAGTTGATGTATGCTCTTCCTGTATTCTTGGGTCTGCTCTGAGAACATACTTATGCTAATGAAAAAAAAAGGGGGAAAAAAAAGACCCTACTTTTTGCTTTATAACATCGAGCCCCATTCTAGGTCTTTCTTGCCTCCCACAAAGTCCCCCCACCCCACACTCCATAGCCCCTTGGAAACAACTGTGTGGCTGAGGTAGGCCTGGTAGATACTGGGAGAGTGGCTCATAAAACACACAGGTGTTTCCCAGTAGTCATGAGAGTCTCCAGGCCTGTGACCTGCTACATGCCAGGCACCAGAGGTGCAGCAGTTAAATTGATGGCAGGAGCCCTGACTGCTCAAAAGTGCTGGCCTGAGTCGAGAGCTGAGGGCCCCAGTGTGCAGACTCTTCAGTGCTCTGGATATTTGTCCTCATGACTCTGATGTCTCTGACAGCCCCTGCCAATGTGAAGGTAGAGACCATTGTGGAGAAGCTGGCAGAGGGCAGAGCTGGGTTTCTGTAGAGGACCCTAACCATGGGAGTTACGTGTCCACTGTGGCTTCTCTGAGATCCATGGGGCAGCCATGACTCCAATCCTTCAGCTCAGGGGGTACTTGCCCATTAACTACTTCCTCCCTTCAAGACTTTCATAGCTAAGAAAAAAAATCAAAGTACAGTCTTCAGCCTTGGATCCTTGAATAGCATTTTACTTTGCTTTGGAACTGGTCAGTGGAGCAAAAAGCAGTCTGGTGATTTGCAGATTGCATTATTATTATTATTATTATTATTATTATTATTATTATTATTATTTTGGCTCTGAGGGATTAAACTCAGGGCACTTGACCACTATTTTGTATTTTATTTAGAGACAGGGTCTCACTGAGTTGCTTAGTGCCTCGCTTTTGCTGAGGCTGGCTTTGAACTTGCAATCCTCCTGAGCACCTGGGATTACAGGCATGTGCCACTGCACCCAGGGCAGCTTGCATTATTTTCAAATAAAATTGAAAAGGACAGAATACTGGGCTACAACATGCATAGCAGGGTATTCTAACTCCAGGCATGCATGTGGGTGAATTTAATTTCTATTTGGGGACATGGTCAAAAGCATTTTTTAAAAATGCTGTTGTAGAGAATGGAGCCTAGATCCAGTATGACAATGCTGGCATCTATGCCCATGAGGCTCTCAGCTGGCTCTTCTGCCTGAAAAGTGCTGGAGAGCTCCAGAGTGTCTGGCCTGCAGGCATCTCCAGCTAACTTATACTGTGACCTCTGCCCTGGGATGGCTCTGCTTCCTGTTGATTCTGTGTCTGAGGACCGAATGCAGAGAGGAGCAGTTTGCAGACCATAGTTGGTCCACACTCTTCTTCCAAGCTGGTTGAGACAGTTGTCTGTAGCTGCTTTAATTTTGCCAAGCTTGAACACATGCATTTTGTCCCTCAAGGCCACTGTTCCTACACAAGAAACTATCTGGGTAGGGCCAAGGGTCTTTGGCTTCAAGGCACGCTATCCAGAGAGTAAACACTTGTGTTCAGGTGGAGAGGGTGGGTTGGCTATCGATCCAGACATGCGACAGGACAGGTGGCTCAGGTACTGGCCTTGGGGACATCTTCCCTTCAGTTCCTAGCTTGTGCTGGGAGCTACCAAAGGGTATTTCTCTGTGCATGGCTTCTAAGGACTAGGCCTGGTCCAGGAGCTGCCACAGCAGGTCATAGGGCTGTGCTGGACTGGGAGGGGAGCTGTGGCTCCTGGGGCTTAGGGACACTGTGCTTGAGGCCACTACTGACAGAGCATCTTCTTGGACTTTTTTTCTACTGACATTTATTCAGTATAGTTCTTGTGTTTGAAGACGGAGCTCCCATGAGGCAGTGTCAACCCTGTGAGCTCCTGAAGGGGAGAGCCTGTGTAGTGGTCACAGCTGGGTCCCTAGGGGCTAGTGCTGCATCTTCATTCATTCCTTGAGGAACACAATGCTTGAGCGCCAGGCACCGCTAGTGCCGAGCATCTGTGGTAAATTGGATCTTCCCTCTTGGGCTCACTAGCTAGTGAGGGAGAGGCAGAGGAGGGGGGAACTCATTAAGGAGTTATGTAACTATCATTGTGAGGGGTGCTCCTAGGGGGAAGGCCAAAAGAAGGTGTCCAGGAAAGGTCTCCTAAGGAAATGGCATTTAAACAAAGCTACTGGGGCCAGAGTGCAGCTCAGCGGCAGAGCACTTGCCGAGCATGCTCAAGGCCCCGGGTTCTACCTCCAGCATCACGAAACAGTAACAACAAAACCTAAGCCTAAGGGTGAATAAGTTAGTCAACTAGGCTGGGAGGGAAGGAGAGTGTTGCAAGGTAGGGAGAACAGCATATGCCCAGGCTCTGGGAAGGAGGGAGTGTGGTGTCCACAGAGAACGGCAAGAAGCTGCCGCATTAGAACGTTCAGACTGTGTGAGAGGGTAAGGGGAGGCAGAGGAGACAGGCAGAGCCCAGGCCATAAAAGATCTGTGAGTTACATATCATGTATTTTGGTTTTTATCCTAAAAGTAATGGAAGGTTCATTGAAGGGATTGAAGCAGGAGAAGGATGTGGTCAGATTTCCAAGGCATAGGGACCACTTAGGTCCCTTCTGGGAAGCTTGATTTGAGACTAGGGCACTTATGAAGGGCCTGACAGGGGGATACTGCAGTGGTCCAGGTTGAGAGCAGATGGTTTCCCAGCCCAGGGTGTGGAATGGAGGCCACAGAGAGATTCCAGGCAGGGATTCTAGGGATGGCTAGGAGGAGGGTGTTAAGGTGGTCCCCGGGTCCTATCTGACACAACTGATGAAGGGAATCCTGGGGAGGTGTTATCACTTTGAGTTGCCTGGAAATACCAAGTGAAGACATAAGGTAGGAAACAGGCTCCACTGACCTCTGAATGAGGCTGTGGCAAAGATGAGAAGGCCTGAGGAAAAGGCCTGGCCCCAAGTCTGGAGGAAACTCAGTAGTCAGAGGTCACATGGAGAGTATAGGAAAGGAGGCCGAGGCAGAGTGCTCAGATACAGGAGAAACCCGGAAAACATGACATCAAGCCCAGGCAAGGTAGTGCTTCAAAGATGGAGAGCTGGCTCTGGAGCAGGAGGATCCCAAGTTTGAAGCCAGCCTGAGCAACTTGCTACAACCCTGTCTTAAAATAAAAAAGACTGGGGATGTAGCTGAGTGGCAGAGTGCTTGCCTAGCACGCAATGTTCATGGATTCAATCCCTGCTACTGCAAAAAAAAAAAAAAAAAAAAAATAGAAACTGTTAAGACAGCCAAATGCTGCCTGTGAAAGCCCAGAAGACAAGACCTGAGAAAAATGTCACTAAGTTCAGGCTTTTGGAGGCTCTAGGTGACCTTAGTGAGATACTCGGTTATGAAAGCGAAAGTGACTGGAGAGGATTAATATTAGTATCAAAGCACCACTTGACTAGAGCCTGTTTCTTACCTTGAGGGTTGTGTTATGCTCAAGAGTGAGTTAGGGACATGGAAGGAGCATCCGATAGTCCCCAGTGCTTTCCTGTGTGTAAAATTTGTTTTTCTTGGGATGGGGTTGTGGCTCAGTGGTAGAGCACTTGCCTTGCATGTGTGAAGTATTGGGTTCTATTCTCAGCACCACATAAAAAAATAAACAAAAGTTACTGTGTCCATCTACAACTAAAAATATATATAGTTTTTAATTATTTTTCTCCTTCTCACCAGTCTAAATGGGAACTTGATAGAGCCAGAGGAGGCCAAAGTCTTTGAAGATGAGAAGCGGATCATTTGTTTCTGAGAGGACTTTCCTATGCTTGGGTCTTCACCCTGGGAGGCCCCGTAGCAGCTGCTGCCACCCTGTGCAGTCAGGGCAAGCAGGCTGCGACCCAAGGCATGTGGCCAGGTGCCTGATGGAGCCCACTCCTAATGATGCAGGCCCACCTCTGTGGTGATGTCTACCCTAAGCTGTTAGGGTGTTGCAGGAACAGTGTGCACCCTGTGAGCTGCGGTAGTCACTGCAAAACAGTATCAGGTTTTCTATACTATGAAGACTTTGTTGTGTATCTGTAATTATTTTATCCAAAGCTGGAGGAATAAGACTGAAGAAGAGAGAAGGCCAGTCACAGCTGGCACAGATGCCTGCCCTAAGAACCAGAGCGAGTGTGTTGGTCACTGCTGTCTTCAGGGGAGAGTGGAGGACCTGGTGCAGAGTCAGTGCCAAGCTTCTGGGAAAGAAGGTTCTCAACGCACAGGAAATATCCACCCTCCTTAGTACTTCCCCACGTACTGATGTCCCCTTCATGGCTGTGGATACTGAAGGGTGTAGGACATGGGGATGTGGCTTATCAAGGTCCTGTGGGGAGCTGGTGTCAGGAGCTCATCACAGGCTTCTCAGTCCTGAGTCTAGGCCAGTCTAAGAGGAAGACAGTGACAATGCCTTCATCACATAGAGCTTCGAGTCTGGCCTCTACCTGTCCCAACTGCACTCCACAGCTGATGTGCCTGCCCAGGAAGAAGCATGGACTCCTGTTCTCCGGAGGGATAGGCATGACTTGTCTTGGTGGCCCTGGCACCCACACCACACAGAAGCTTTTTTCTACATTGCCGTCTTAGGAAGGGAAGTCTCAGCCAGGCGTGATGGCACACTCCTGTAATCCCAGTGGCTGGGGAGGCTGAGGCAGGAGGATTGTGGGTTCAAAGCCAGCCTCAGCAAAAGCGAAGCACTAAGCAATTCAGTGAGACCCTGTCTCTAAAATACAAAATAGGGCTGGGGATGTGGCTCAGTGGTCGAGTGCCCCTGAGTCCAATCCCTGGTACCAAAAAAGGAAATAAAAAAGGGAAGTCCCTTCCTGCCCCTGAACAGCTGGGGGGGGGTGGTGAATGAAGACTCGGGGAGCCTGCTGAGAACTCAGCCAGCAGAGTGTGCTAGACCCCCACCACTGTGGGGGGCACATGGTGGATGCTCTGTGAGGTGGGGTGGGGTTATCACAAGAGAACTTGTTCTTTGGCCACCTCATTGTTAATAAAATATTTAAAATGCTCACCATTTTGAAATGTTAGGGCTGGGATTGTTTGGAGGGACTTGGCCTGGTGCTGTGAGCCTCAAGCCCATCCTGACTCAATGCACTGTGGACAACGTTCTGGATAAAGTGCTCCAGGGGGAGGCCTGAAGAAGGGAGGCCAGAGGTGTCCCAAGTGTGGTCCGGCACGGTCCTCTCCACCTACCAAGGGACAAGAAAAGGTGGAGGCACTATCTGAGGCTGCTCCATCTGGCCTCTGAATCCATACCGGGGTGGGGTGGGGGGCTCTTGTGCTGGCTGGGCTCAGGACACATGGAGTGGCCCAATTTCATGCATTCACCACAGCACACAGTAGGTCCTGCCAGGCCCACTACCTTCCTTGGCTGTTCACTGATGGATGGAGGACAAGGTGGTCCTGAGGCAAGAGGGGACAGCATGGGAAGGGTAAGGGGTCCCTCCTAGAAAGCCACAGTGTTCTAGGTTCAAGCCTGGCTCCATACATAGCCTGCTAGGGAGGGTGCGATTCAGCAGGTTATGGGGGATATCCTGTAGCTCAGACCACTGTACGGTGATTGTTCCCTTAAAGGCACTGCTGTGGTGCTTCCTCCAATGTATCCCCGACCCCAGACCCAGATATTCACCTGGTCATCTCCCTCTGAGGCAGCAGTCTGTTCCCCAGCATAGAATCTGGGCAGTAGATCCTCTTGCAAAGGGCAAGGAAATCCTCAAGGTGAGCTGAAGGCCAAGGGCATGAGGAACACAGAGCACAGATTCAGACTACAAATTCACCAAGTCTCACCAAGAAACACACTTCCTGGGAACAAAGTTCAGATTTTATCAAACAGCTAAATGTAAACTCTTGAAAGTCTAAAATTTACTCAGCAACTACTAAACATTATTGCTCTAAAGACTTGCAAGACCGCAACCTCTCAGGGACTCCATTTGTGTGGTTATAGTGTGAAGTACTATTTGTAACACCTCCATCTTCTACATGGTAAAAGGTAGATTCTGATCCTTTTATAAAACCAAAAGCAGGTTTCCAACTTTCCAGAAAGGGTCTCCACCACACAGATGAGCTGAGCACAGGTGTACAGGCTTGTCCTAATCATGAAAAAGACAACAGAAAAAATATAAAAAGTGAGCTCTGTGAACTTGGGATATGACTGACCACTCCTTTCCATAGTATGCCTTGGCTGATTTGAGGAAAGAAACTATTGCTTCTGTACATCATACCTGCATTTTTATCATGTTCACACTGATTTGGAACTCAATTTAAAAAGCCATGCAAAGTCACTGTGTCCAAGTGTAATTAGCTCCGAGGAGCTCCAGCCTGCTTTTGCCCTGATGCGTGGCTTTGGGCCCAGCCTAGGTCTGCTGGAATCTTGATATCCTCTGTGAAAAATGGGAATCCAAGAGCACTGACTCAGGAGGTTATTGAGAGAAGGTGAAATAAGGTGTTCTAGAAAGTAGTTGGTGTGCCTGGCTGAGGGTCCCCTCCTCCGTACCCACCAGTTACTATAAAACCAGCTTTTCTCATTTCCCCTCTCACTCCTAGGCTTAGAGGGACCTTTCCAACAAGACTAAATATGGCAGTGGAAGTTCTCAAAGTAAAATTCAACATCAAGGTTCCTGTAGTATCCTAGCTTTCTGGTATCTCATCCTCATTGCATAGTAGGGCAGAGGCCAGCATCACTGCACAGAGCCAGGCACATGGGTGTGAGCAATATCCCAATTTCCTTTCAGCTCTGGAACCAGGCAGGAGTACTGACTGGGATCATAGACATTTTTCCAGGTGTGGTACAGTAAGTCTGTAGCATGTAATGGAGGAGGAGGGGGTGAGAAACAGGGGTGGAGGAGCAAGAGGAGGAGGAGGAGAAGAAGAAAAGAACACAAGATGAAACTTGCTTTGGAACTGAAAGACATAACTATGACCATGGAGGGGCATTGCAATGAAAGCAGACTCGGTTCATGAGGAGGCCAAGACTCGTGTGACCACATGAGGCCTGTGGCACAGCTATAGAGCAGGGCCGTTCCAGCACTGTTCTCTCCATCTAAAAACCGAATGAACTGCACCTACAACTGACTGAAGACTTCTAGAGACATTACACACTGAAAAAATGACCTGTGATTTAAGAAAGACTTAAAATAATAGATTAAATAAACACAAGGTTTTGAAGACCACTTGGGGTGCTTTTTGTAACCAATAACAAGTCAAAATGTCTCAAAAAATCTTCCCTGATTTTTCCCTCTGTCTCACAGTGCATTTATTTTTGTTGTAAAAGGGGTATCACAATGTTAAAGGGAACCTTGAAAATGTGTATATCAGCGTACCAAAGCAGCTATTTTAGTTTTTACATATCATCTCCTGTGCTTTGTCTGAACATCTTTTTTCATAGGTATAATTCCAGTGCCTATTTGCAGTTCTTAATCAAACATTTTCCCACATCATTACCATAGTCTTTAAAATTATCATTAGTGGTCTATGAGTTTGAGAATTTGCTTATTATGTTCCAGTTGTTAAGACATTCATGTTTCTGGATTGGCTGTGATTATTATAGACACTGTTTGGTAGAATTAAAAACTTTATGGTTATTTCTTCACAGTGGGATTACTGAGGCTAAAATCTCTTGCTATGAAATTTCATTTCTTTTTAAAACTGTTAGGGATTAAAAAAAAACAGATATATAGGTGAAAGAGAATAATGTAACCATCAGTGTCTCCTCTAAGGAGGAATAAAACTCCCTGCCCCTGCACCTCAGCAGACACAATGTCCAGGCTCTGCCTGCACAGGGACATGTGTGTCCAAGACTCACAATGCCAACAAATATAGCTGAAGGAAAGAATTAAAAAGCCCACAAATTGCCATCTATTTAGGTGATAGTGTACAAGGTGATGACTAATGTGCATGTGTTAAGACCTTCAAAGTCAGTTTTCCTGGATGACGTGTGCTTGCTTTGCCTAAACAAACCTGGCCTGACTCAGCCCTGCAATATCAGGTCTGATGGAAACTACTTCCTCCCATAGCCTTGTAATGTAGAAATTATTTCATGAATGAGGAAACTGAGGACTGGTAACATGAATATGTATCTTATTAAACAGGATGTGTACAAAAATTAAAAGAAAAAAGACAAAGAGGAAAACCTTCCGGGAAGGGGGCTCAGCAAATGTGGAATGCCGCACCTGGCCCATCTAAGATCTCCAGATCACTTAGTTTAACCCCTCACTCTACCCACCCGGAAACTGATATCAGAGAAAAAAGCAACTCGCCCAAGGTCAGACACTTATTCCTGGTGGAGCTGGAACACAAACACGTGCCTTCTGGCTGGTTTTATTGTGCCTCTGTTCTGATAGATTTGCAACCTTCAGTTCACTTTGCAACTGATCATCTTTCTGCCAAGTCTGTTAAACGTGGTTCTAATCTAGGCCAAGCAAAATGATATGAGGTCTTTTTGTGTTCCTGGCATTTCCACAGAAAAAACCTCTTATTTTTCTCCTATGTTGATGATGTTAAAAGCAACAGGACTCTGTCATATCTGTGAACCCCACTGACAGTCCTAGGTTAGGAGCATCCTGGAGAATGGCAGGTTAAGAGTTTTGACTCTACAGAGTCAACAGCTTCATATATAGTCACACATCCCCAATCCCCAGCCACAAGACTGGACCAAAGGAAGGAAGTATGTGCATTCAAGAAAGCTACAGGTCACATGGGGGTGATTTTCATCACAAGAGGGCAGCATGCTCCATTAATTCATTCATTATATAAAAGTGGCCCAAAAAGTCAACAGTGCATGGGGCCTGGCACATTATTTAATTAAGACTCAAACCCAAGTACATTGTACTAAGAGCAATATTATCTTAAGCCCATTCATCCATGAATTCAAAGATGTCCACAAGTGCAGAGAGTTGGCCAAGGATACATTAAATGAGCATTTGGCAAGTTCTCCAGGGACCAAAGGTTTGGGTTCAAATCCTAATGGTACTAGTAGCAGTGTGACCTTGGACAAATGACTCACCTTTTCTGTACCCGAATTCCCTCTATTTTATCATAGGGTTGATAAAATAGTGTTCTCCTTGTAGGGTTGTTTATGAATAAATGAATTAATTAATCCAGGCACAGTAGCATACACCTGTAATTCCAGCTGTTTGGGAGACTGAAGCAGGAGGAACACAAGTTTGAGGCCAGCCTGGGCAACATAGTGAGACCCTGTTTCAAAATAAAATATAATATAAATAATAATAAATATAAATAAGAAAGGCCAGGGATGTAGCTCAGTGGTAGTACTCAGTCCCTAGTACTAAAAAAATTAATACAAAGCTCTTAAAAACAGTACCTATATGTAGTTATGGCTCCCAAAGTGGAAATTCTTGTTACCCAATTAAATTTTTTTCTTTCCAGCATTGCCTTAATGGGAATTAGGATAAGGCTGGCGATAAGAGGAGATATAGTAGACCATCTTTCATAACCCTAAGAGCACCAAGACGACATCACCGTTTCAAATGGCAAAGTCCAGACTTTTAAGCCCAGAGACCAGAAGCCATATTCAAGGTTGAATACCTACCTCAGGGATTAGAACAATACATTGCCCACTTTTGAAACTGTCTTCACTTTTGTTTTGTAAGGGAATCACGTGTCTAGGTGAACATGGATAAAGCAGCATGGATTAGGAAAGCCAAAGCTTGGTTTGCATTATGATTTGATTTCACAGAGAGTAGAGTAGATGATCTGGCTTTCCACACCGAAATGATTTGGCTGAAGGTTCTTTCTTTCCTATCAGGACACGGCTCTCTTTCTGGCCTTCTTCTTACTCACTCATGAACATTGCTACTGATTTTCCTGCCTGTAGCAAAAACCAGAGCTGGAGAGGACAGGCGGAAGAGAAACAGAACAAATGGGAGAGTAGGAAGTAGGTGGGTTAATTTTTAGAATCTTGACTTCTATATCAAGTCTTCCTCTTGCTGTGTCTAGGGGGGTCCCAGTGTATGTGAGGCCATCAGCCTGGCAGTCTAGGCACAGTGAAGTTTTATGGGGTCAGCAAGCTTATCACCTACTGAGCAACCATGTGTAGCATCCCAGCTGCCCACTGCTGCATTTAGATTTCCAACACAATGTCCTTTAGGTGATGTGTAAGATCTTTTTCCACACAGGGCATGGTGGCATGTGCCTGTAATCCCAGAGACTCAGGAGAAGGCTGAGGCAGGAAGATCACAAATTCAAAGCTAGCCTCAGCACCGTAGTGAGACTCTGAAAATAAAAAGGCCTGGGGATGTAGCTAGGCTAAAACATCCCTGGGTTCAAATCTCAGTATTAGAAAGAGAAGTAGGGGAGGGGGGATCTTTTTCCTTCTGCTGAAATAATACACTTGTTTCATTTTCCAGAAGGACCCACTGGTGGTCAACAAAAGCCTTCCACTTGATTCAGGAAGTCAAGTGTTTTCAACTTTTTCCTTATCACCCCCGCAAAGACTATTAATAAAGACACTTTTCTAATCCCCCTCCTCCAGTACATTTTAATACATAGAAACACTGTATATCTATTTATCCTCCAAAGGGCCATAACCATGGAACATCTAAGTTCTTTTCTGCCTCCTCAGGGGTGGTATCTCCTTGGTGAGAACACTTGATCCAGTCCAAACATGAAGGTTCTTCTTATCCTACCATCTCTAAGAATCCCAAAGAGCTATCTGCCTTTCCATACATTATTCAACTTTTAATTTAATAAACCTTAATAGCTTTAAATTTTACATTCTCTTG